TAAGCGAAAGCAAACCGATACCACGAAGTACTTAAAATTTGCGGCAACCTCATCTCCAACAAAGCCATGCCACTCCGCCGCGCAGCGGTGGCGGCCTAGTCTCTCCCTCTAGTGCAGCCTGGTCTGCGTCCTTCCATCTGTGGCTAGGGCTAGCTAATGTAGCGCAAATACGTGCGTTCTACTGGCTGCCGAGCGCAGCGAAGGCGGCGTCAATTGGCTAAAACTAAAAATGTAGTTAAACAATGTATGTGGTCTATATATCGTTTAAAGCACATCCAAGGGTACTGAAAGCTACGCAAAAAATACACATGAAATGAGCTTTTGCAAAAAATGGAATCCCAAAGGCGAACTGATCGGGAACACAAAGTAACTATTAAGTAGCCACACAAAATTGATCGTGCACTACGAAAGAGACAAAGTGAATAGGAGGCTCCTAGTCACTTCGCAGCACTACAAATTTCACCACACTGAAACTCCCATCTTCAATCATGAAGACGGCAGGTCAATGCCCAACGCAGCTCCGTGGGGTCACGAAGAGGACATCCGCCTCTACAGAGCCTACACCAACATTTCCGAGGATGGCTGCATCAGCACCGACCATGACGCGACACATTTTTGGGACTGAGCTCATCAGACGTATAGTCAGCCAGGAGAAGACAGCGCAACTACAAGTAAAACAGGGGCTCTGCAAAGCCGATGGGCCAGACTTATTAGACCTGACGTTGCCCTTTATGCCTCCTGCATGGCCGTGGTATACGCCAAAGTCAAATTGTATACACATTAATGTGCACTAATGCTTCACACATACTGCATCTACAGATTCAAGCTGAATCACACAGTGGCTCGACAGACAAAGAATATTCGGACGAAGCTGCCAATCGTTTTACAGCAAAGCGAGAGCAGTTAAATGGTAATGCATCACGTGAACATGAGGAAGATGTGAAGTCTGGTCGTGCCAAAAGCAAGCAAAAGCCGCGCTTTCGGGCTGAAGCTTTTGTCTGCACCATTGTTACGATTTTCTCAAAAGAAGTGCGCGCTTCATTCCACGCCCCCGTAAGGGGGCTCGTCTACAAAATGAACCAGAGGTGTACGAACAGGGAGCTGGTAAGCTTTATATAATTTTAGTTTTTGTCACTATTTATTTTTTTTTAATTTATTTGTTTACTTGCACATATGAATACCTCTAGCAACACTGCGGAGTTTGACTCAGTCGCTGGTGATGATGTTCCTGCTCTTCCTGCTGATATCATTCAGTCTTCTGCTGGTAATCGGTCTTTTGTTACGTCCTGCGTCCGCAGGGAAAAGAAGCGAAGCAACTTCACTTAGAAGGACAAACTGACAAAGATATAATGCACTCGCAACGAAAATAGACCGCAGCAACTACGGCACAAGTGGAATTATTAAAAGAACAGTTCCAGATAGCGAAAAGAAAGGTGGATCTGATGAGAAATCAGCAGCTGTCGTTGAAAGAGCAAGCCGAAATGTCAATGATATGCGCAACGACGGAAGGGCTCTCAGAATTTGGCAAAGAGTTTCTCTTACTGAAACGAAAACAGGTATTAGAGTAGATGAAGAAACAAACGCTGATAGAAGAATAAAGTAAGATGAATTTATCTCTCTCTTTAATAATTAGATGCAACGTGCTCAGCCAAATCCTTTTTTAGCTTAAAGCTAGAGGCGGAATTCATCGCAATTATGTACTTCTCTATAAACGAAGAAGGTAACGCGTCTGATGCGTGAATAGGAGGATGTTGAAATTTGTGACGTCGATATCAAGATCGAGAACCTGTGTACGCGTAAACAGAATGGAAGTGTTCTGGCTGCTAGGTAATCACTAATCATCACGCTGTGGAGCATAATGCAGCACTGCATGATTTTCTTTAGTTTTTCTAAGGATCGGCACCGTGAAGGTCTAGCCACAACTGCAAGCCGAGATTGTAAGACTTCAAATGCACGTTTCACATCTTTACGAAGTGCTTCCTGGCACGATGCAATTTCTGCTGCTTCTTGTCTGCGGGTGCCGATGTGGTTTTTACAAAACACTTCCAATCTGGATAGATACCGTCCGCTAAATAGTAAGAAAAAAAATCATAGGTAGAGCCACATATCTCGTACGAAGATTGAGGTACACTATCATCTGCGTACTCGGCAATAATTGGCGATGCAACTAGCACACTGATGTCGTTATTGCTACCTGACATACCAATACAAGCATGCCAAATATGCTAATTAGCAGTAGCGATGGCTTCCAAAATGACAGCTGGTCTTTTTAGAGGCGCCTTGAAAAGCTCCACACCAGGTGCTAGGGCACTTTTTCCATTGTCACTTCATACAGCCTATGAATCCCAACATGCCAGGGAACCCACGCGCCGCATTAATCTCCAAAATTGATTCCATGTCTTCTTTTGTTGGGAGACATAGATGGTGAGGTCCATAAAGTTTTATTACAGCTTCGGTAAACTTATCCAATGCTTCTAAAACTGTAGATTCGCCCATGCAAAACGTTTCATTCCATGAATCGGCCGAACAGCCACAGGCTAGTATTCTCAAAGCTGCTGTGACTTAATTAGCAGAATGTACACCTTTTTTTAGCACAATCCTGTTTCCACGTAAAAAGGGTCGTAGCTTTCGTTAGCATCTAGAATAGATAGAAACGAGGTCTTGCTCATACGAAAACTTCGTCTAAACTGCTCGTCAGTGTACATGAGTCTCTCTCC